TCCAATCCAGTTCCCTGCTAATGGGCCTGGGAAAGCAGCAGAGAATGACCTAAGTGCTTGGGCCCCTGCAGCCAAGTGGGAGACCTATGTTCCTGGCTTCGGACCCACCCAGCTCCAGCCACTGCAGCCATTTGTGGAGTGAACTAGCAGATATATGCTCTCTCTTTGTCTCTCCCTCTCTCTAAGTCTGTCTTTCAAATAAAATGGAAAATCTTTAAAGAAAAAAAATTACTTCACATACTACTCAGTTCTTTTTGTCGTTAGTCTTACAATATATAGCTTTCTGAAATTCAGAGAGTAGTCTTCCATCCACTGGTTCACTCCCCAAATGACTGCAACGTTCGGAACTGGGCCTATCTGAAGCCAGGAGCCAGGTGCCGGTTTTTTGTTTTGTTTTTATTTTTGTTTTTGACAGGCAGAGTTAGGCAGTGAGAGACAGAAAGAAAGGTCTTCCTTTTCCATTGGTTTACCCCTCAAATGGCCGCCACGGCCGACACACTGCGCTGATCCAAAGCCAGGAGCCAGGTGCTTTCTCTTGGTCTCCCATGCAGGTGCAGGGCCCAAGCACTTGGGCCATCCTCCACTGCCTTCCCAGGCCACAGCTTAGAGCTGGACTGGAAGAGGAGCAACTGGGACAGAACCGGCGCCCCAATTAGGACTAGAACCCGGTGTGCTGGCGCTTGCAGGCGGAGGATTAGCCTAGTGAGCCGCGGCACCGGCCTAGGTGCCAGGTTTCTAAAATTACTTTTTTCCTACAGCCTTTTGTATCAAGATATTTGTTAAAATTCATGGAAAATGGAATTAAAAGATAAGTTTGAGGGTGAGTGGTTAGCAGTTAGGATGTCACTGGGGTCACTCTCATTCCATGTTTCATAGTGTGTGGGTTTGAGTCCTGGCTCCACTTCCAATTCCAGCTTCCTGTTAATGTGCACCCTGTGAGGCAGCAGGAGAAGTGCCTGGAATCCCTGGCAGCCAGTGAGAGCCCTGGATTGAGTTCCTAGTTCCCAGCTTTGGCTTGGCCCAGCTCTGGCTGTTGCTGACATTTAGGGAGTGAACCAGCAGATGGGAGATAAGATTCTCTCCCTCTCTCTCCCTCTCTCTCCCTCTCTCTCCCTCTCTCTCTCTCTCTCTGTGTGTGTCTGCCTTTCAAATAAATAGATAAAATTTAAAATTTAAAGAAATGAGTCTTGGGGATTGTGCTTTTAGTCTAGCAGTTAAGATACCTGTGTTAAGACACATGTATCTCATATTGGAGTATCTGGATTCTAGGAGGTGGTGGTGATGGCTCAAGTAATTGAATCCCTGCCATCTATATGGGAAATCTGGATAGAGCACCAGGATCCCAGCTTCAGCTGAACTCAGTCCCAGTTGTTGTAGGTATCTGAAGAATGAACCAGTAGCTAGGAATTATGTCTCTTTTCTGTCTCTGTGTCTGTCTGTCTGTCCCTCTTTCTCTGCCTCTCAAAAAATTTTTTTTGAAAACACAAGTCTGGGCTCCCCTCATGTTTTTGTTGATTTTAATTATTTTTTATTAAGTGAAACAATAATATGGTTCTAAGTCAGAATTAGACAGAAATAGCTATTCAGTCACTCCTCCATTGTTTGTTCTCTCCCTATTCTTCCATTCTTCCTACCCTATTCCCATTCCTTCACTATAGTAACCATTCTTGTTAATCTGTGAATATTTTGTTTTATGGTTAAACATACATAAAATTTACCACTGTAATCATTTTTCAGTGTAGAGGATTAAGTACACTCACATCACCACTATCCATTTCCACAGACTTTTTACCTTTAACTTTTTTTTCTTTCCTTTTTCATTTGAGAGGCAGAGAGAGACAGAGTGCGCTTTCAACCACTGCTTTGCTACCCAAATGCCTGCAAAGATCCCAGGCCAGAAGTTAAGAACTCAGTTCAGGTCGCCTACATGGGTGGCAGGAATCCAAGCACTCGAGCCATCGCCATTGCTTCCTAGGGTGTTTAACAGCAGAAAGCTGGAATCAGAGGTGAAGCCCGGCATTGAACGCAGACACTGTGACATAGTACACAGATGTCTTATCTGGCATCTTCACCACTAGGCCAAATACCACCCCCCGCCAATATCTTTAACTTTTTGAGGAATCAACAAACTGTTTCCCCTACCAGCTGCACAATGCACAAGAGTTCTAATTGCAGGGCTGGTGCTGTGGCATAGCGGGTTAAGCCATTGCCTGCAGCACCAGCATCCCATATGGGCACTGGTTCGAGTCCCAGCTGCTTCACTGCTGATCTAGCTCCCTGCTAATATGCCTGGAAAATAGTGGAGGACGGTCTAAATCATCGGGCCAGTGCACCCACATGGGAGACCTGCTAGAAGCTCCTGGCTCCTGGCTTCAGATCTGCTCAGCTCTAGCCGTTATGGCCTGCTGGGGAGTGAACCAGCAGATGGAAGATTTCTCTCTCCTTCTCTCTCTGTATTCTGCCTTTCAAATAAATAATTTTAAAAAGAGTATATGGGAATTCTATTTGTATAACATTTTGAAGTCTAAAATTAATTCAACATGAAAACAATGTTAAAAAACCTTGGGTGCACAGGGAGCAAAAAGGATGTGAACCTTTCAGGCCATCTCCAGGGCACTCAATGACTCCCACAGCAAATACTGGAAACTAGGTCACTCTGGCAGGTGGTGAGTAGGCAGTAGCTCTGTTACAGAGTTTCAGAAAGAAGAAAACAATAATAAGCAAGCTTCCAAGGAAGGAATAAAACCTGATGTGTCTGGCATTTAGGTTAGAAGGTCAATAGCAATTCTTTCCTTCTTTTAACACTGTTCTTGACAAAGGGTTAAGAGAAAAAAGTCCTGAGTGACCAGGACAGCTTTGAAAAGTCATCCCCTGGACCAGCATTGTGGCAGAGCAGGCAAAGCTGCCGCCTGTGACACTGCCATCCCTTATGGGCGCTGGTCCGTGTCCTGGTTGCTCCGAGTCTGATCCAGCTCCCTGCTAATGTGCCTGAAAAACCAGTGGAAGACGGCCTAAGTGCTTGGGCCCCTGCACCCACATGGAAGACCCGGATGGAATTCCAGGCTCCTGGTTTCAGATGGGCCCAGCTCCAGCTGTTCTGGCCATCTTGGGGAGTGAACCAGCAGATGGAAAACCTCTCTCTCTGTTAACTCTGCCTTAAAATAAATAAATAAAAGGAAAGAAAAGTCATCCCCCTACTCTATGACACAGAGGAGGGAGATCACACCTTCACAAGCTGATGTCCCTATCTGCACACACAGCATCAGTCACCATCTCCCCCACCCCCACCCCCACCCTCACACATTCTCCAATATTCACAACAGGCGTACACACGCAGTCTCCAGTCACAGGCACACGGCAACGACACGCAGTGTGGCACAGGCTAGCATCACACAACCAAAGCCATGCATCCACCCTGGAGCCGCGCGGTCACAACCGCACAGACACCTGCACAGGGCGTACAGGCAGGCAGGCGCGCTAAGGGCGCACACCGGAGCCACAAGCATTTTATCACACGGACCCCGCACCCCAATACAAAGTATCACATACTCTTCCACAAAAACAACCAGCCAACAGAACTGCACGCTCACAGGAACCCACACCCAGCCCCAACGCGCATCCTCAGCCGGCTCCCGCCTGCGCGCACAGACCCGAGTCTCCGGACACGCCCCGTCCCCGCCCCGAACTCCCAGACCCCTCACCTTCAGCCTCCCCTGGTCGCGTCCGGGTCCTTGCGGAGCCTGCGATCTCGCCACGACGTCAAAGGAGACGAAACGTCGGCCGCTGTGGGCTCTGGGAAACGTAGTCCACAGACCGAGCAGCCACGGACAAGATGGCGGTTTTTTTTTTTTTTTTAACCTCTGAGTCTGGGTTTGGCCCAGAGGCATCAAAGAGGGAATCCGCCCTGCAAACCTTTCGGCACGCCTGAGATTGAGTTCAGTAAAGGACCACGCACCCTCAAAGTCCCCTTAGCACAAGAGGAGGCAGCCAAGTTTGCGTGGCGGAGACAGAGAATCGAGCAGCAAAGCCTTACGGGAAATGTAGTCCACGGCAGGAAAAGCGCCCTTGTCAGTAACACAAGGTAACTGCGTACCAGCCTGGGCCTGGCCTTCGTCAAGGAGCCGGGCCGAGCCGCGGAGACTTCTGGGAGTGCCTACTCGCCCTCGGAGTGCGCAGGCGCAGCGCACCGAGTGGACATTTTGGTCTTTGTCCGCGGGTCAGTACGGCCCTCGGGTCCACGTGGCGCGAAAGTAGGAGGTGGGCTCTGGGCCTCTTGGGTCGGTCGGGCCGGGGAGGTCGAAGGGGAGGATTCTGGATTTCCAAGGGCGCAGCGCGAGGTTGGGGAGTGGGTTTAAGAGCGCTTGGCCTGTGTGTGGGGCGGAGGTGGAGGCCTCCGAGGCGGGTTCGAGTGTGTGTGACCCTGAGTTTGACCGCAAAGTTTGACCTGTTGTTTGGAATTGTTGAGTAGATGTGAAACTGTGGGTGCGGGAGTGTGTGTGGTTGCGCCGAACGTGAAAATATGGAGTCTGGCGCTGAAGTGCGGCGTCGGAGCCGCGCTTCCCTTGTCGAAAGTGCTGATAATTATAACGGTGCCATTTTCCTGGAGCGTCTGGTTTACTTGAAAATTTGCAAGGGGAGGAGAAGGCTGGCGATGGATTATTTTTAAGGCGAATTTTTAGATAAAGGCTCATTTCTTTTTGCTTTGGGGAGAATACGAGTCTCCGTGATTTCTTTCTTAATCCTTTTTGGAAACAATATTTTCAAAGGAATTTTTTTGTTATGGGGTGCCTGCTTTTCAATGCCCCAGCTTCCCTAATCTACTTTAATAAGGTTTGCTAGGCAAAGCCTTAGACTAGCGACGTACTTTTTTTTTTTTACATTTTTATATTACTTAGCGTTATACTTTAAAAAGCGTTGTCATTTAACGCTGGGAGCCCAGGGTTAGGGGAGGGATTCGGGGGTTCTAGGTTGCCACAAGTATCTTCATTTTTTGGAGAGAAATTACTTGTTGAGATATTTATCCACGAGTCTACACTAGATACTAGGTGATCTGACTCCTTAGTAGGTGGAGATGTTCGCAATTTACATGAGCTTTGTAATTGTAATGGAGAAGACCGAGTGCATCTCCTTGGACGCTTTTTCTAAAGACTTCCCTTGCCGTCCTCTTTTAAATAATAAAGCTTTAAATAATGAAAGAGTTAAAAAGACTAAAGGGTAGCAGAGTAAGATCTGCAAATCAATATCCTTATGGCTTCTGGCAGGTAAATAAGTAATTGGAGAAAGCCACTCTAATAGCGATAAAGAGATAAGGGAAATGTGCAAAACTTTGGGACTTTGTAAGTACTACTGCTTAGAGGCATGAGATTGGAACAACTGCATTACATTAGAGAGTGGAAACGTCAGTAAATTGGTTTAATACAATCCTCATAAAAGCATTGACAGGTTTTTTTTTTCTTTTGTAATTAGGTAAGTGGATTTTATACTTAATATAGAAAAGTAGCCAGGCAGCAATAGTTAGTAAAAGTAAGAAAAAGAAACTCAGTTGGAGTGTGGGGAGATGGGAGCCCAACAGTTCACACATTTCAGAGCCTCAGAACTTGGTATTAGGACTGGCATAAGAAAAGGTGCATGAAGGGTGATTTGGTGGCATCTGTGATAACTTTTGGACCCAGCTTGTTCACATCTGGAGGTTAATCTTAACAAATATACTGCCTTTGCAGGAAACTGAACAGGTACCAGGTTGCTTGTTGCAGCACTCTTTGGCCTAAGAAAAGATTAGAAACTAAGCCCATTTAGATTGGTTCTAAAAAGTGTGTGCAACAGTAATGCGCTCTACCAAAGGAGGAAGAGGAAGCTTTCTATAGTGGTGACGCTGACACCAAAAATGTATAATTAAATGGAAAAAGCAAGGTGCTGCACAGTGTAGGGTAATAAAAATTTATCGTTGTGTTTCTATTGAGAAACTCAGTGTAAGAAACTGGCTGTCTCTGTTGTGAGAGAGAGAGTACTGGAATACATAGGGCAAAGGCAAATACCTTTTTACTTAGCTTTAAAAATTTATTTGAACGGTCTAAAAACAAATAGAGATGGACAGACATTCTTAAGTTGTTTTTTAACTGGCTTACTCCCTGAATGCCCTGAAGCCTAGCTTGGAGCCCAAGAGCCTGAAACTTGAGTCAGACTCAAGTACTTGAGCCCTGTCCACGTGTCCTAGGGTATGTATCAGCTGGAGTCAGAAGCTGACTTTTTTCTTTTTTTAAGATTTTATTTGAGAGGTAGAGTTGCAGACAGTGAGAGGGAGAGACAGAAAGGGTCTTTGTTTTGTTGGTTCACTCCCCAAATGGCTGCAACAGCTGGAGCTGCATCAATCCAAAGCCAGGAGCCGGGTGCTTCCTCCCAGTCTCCCACGTGGGTGCAGAGGCCCAAGGACTGGGGCCATCTTCTACTGCCTTTCCCAGGCCACAGCAGAGAGCTGGAGCAGCTGGGACTCGAACCGCCCATATGGATGCCGGCGCCGCAAGCAGGGGATTAACCGACTGTGCCACGGCACCAGCCCCATCTGACTTGAACCCTGGCACCTGGGTATGGTTTGTGGGAGTTCAAGGAGCGTCTTAACTGAATACTTGGCCCTGATTTTTAAAATTAGTTCAAAGTGTCACTTTTTAAAAAAATTATTTATTTTTATTTGAAAGAGTTACAGAGGGCAAGAGAGAGGTAGTAGGTCTTCAGTCTGCTGGTTCGCTCACCAAATGGTCTCAGTCCCCTGGCTGGAGCTGGTAACTTTATTTGGGCCATCTTCTGCTGCTTTCCCCAGACCATTAGCATGGAGCAGTATTGAAAGTGGAGGAGAGTAGCAGGGACCCCAATCGAGCCCATTTGGGATGTAGAATTGCGGGTGGCAGCTTTACTTGCTATACCACAACACCAGCCCCCTGGCTGTCTTTTCATTCCTTTTACATTTAGTAGATTGTTAACTCACATGTTAATTAAATGTCTTCTGAATTTTTCGTTTGTAAGCTTTTTTTTTCTTTTTGGGTGGATGTTTGTGTTATGGTTTTAGCCTGTGGACACTCTTCAAGTCAGCTGTTCTTATTTTGGCTTTACATTTATTGAAAGGTTTCTTGTACTGCAATCTCACCTTGTAGCTTCCCTCTCAGACCCGGAATTGATCCTGTCTCCCAGGAGCTCTGATTCTTTTTATTAAAGGATAGTAATAGAGACAAAGATCTAGAGGGTGCTTGTTCCTCTGGGGTAAGAGTGTTTCAATGCCATTTTAAATGGCAGAGCTAGAAAATTCATCTTTTGAAGTTATGAGCCTCCATTAATATTTCTAATCCAGCTTCAATTACACAGTATTTTTACTTAATTTCCTAGATCTTACTTTGTATTTTATAATAAAAATTTTGAAACAAGTTGGCATAAATAAATACCTTCTTGCTTAATCCTGTAATAAAAAGAGAATGATTTCAAACTAACAATACTGATACTATTAACCTTATCATGTCAAAATGTCTGTAACATTTAATAATACATGTAGCTATTTTGTTGTTAGTCTCATTAGGTTTATTTATTTTAATTTGTTTTCAAGCTAAGGAATGAATTTGATTACTCTAAAAACAAGTAGTCTGTTTTTATGATTCAACAAAAATATAGGAACCTCATCCTGCTTCTCTCCAATCAAATTCTTTGTCCCAAGTAAATTTTTTTTTTTTTGGACAGGCCGAGTGGACAGTGAGACAGAGAGAAAGGTCTTCCTTTTCCGTTGGTTCACCCCCCAATGGCCACTGCGGCCTGTGCACCATTCTGATCCGAAGCCAGGAGCCAGATGCTTCTGGTCTCCCATGTGGGTGCAGGGCCCAAGGACTTGGGCCATCCTCCACTGCACTCCCTGGCCACAGCAGAGAGCTGAACTGGAAGAGGAGGAACCGGGACAGAATCTGGTGACCCGACCAGGACTAGAACCCGGGGTGCCAGCGCTGCAGGCGGAGGATTAGCCTAGTGAGCCGTGGCGCCGGCCAGTAAATATGGTTTTAAGATTTATTTATTTGAAAGAGTTACACAGAGAGAGGAGAGGCAGAGAGAGAGAGAAATCTCATCTGCTGATTGGATCCCCAGATGGCCACAATGGCTGGAGCTGTGCCAGTCCGGAGCCAGGAGCTTCATCTTGATCTCCCGTGCGGGTGCAGGGGCCCAAGGACTTGGGCCATCTTCTATTGCTCTCCCAGGCCACAGTAGAGAGCTGGGTTGGAAGAGGAGCAGCGCCCATATGGGATGCTGGCGCTTCAGACCAGGGCATTAACCCACTGCGCCACAGTGCCGGCCCCAGTAGGTAGAATTTAAGTGCCCAAGCACTTGAACCATCTTCCACTACTTTTCCAGGCCCATAAGCAGGGAGCTAGATCAGGTAGAACAGCCAATGTTCCATCTGGTGCAGGCAGAGGCTCAATTCACTGTACAATGCCAGCCACTGCCACCTCCTTCTCCTCTTCCTCCTCCTTCTGATTTATTTATTTATTTATTTCAAAGGCAAAGTTACAGAGAGGCAGAGAAAGAGAGAGGTCTTTGATCTGGTTCACTCCCCAAATGGCTGCAATGGCTAGAGCTGGGCCAGTTGAAGCCAGGAGTTTCTTACAGGTCTTCCATGCAGGTGCAGGGACCCAAGGACTTGGGCCGTCTGCTGCTGCTGCTGCTTTCCCAAGCCACAGCAGAAAGCTGGATTGGAAGTAGAGCAGCCAGGACTTGAACTGGCACCCATATGGGATGCCAGCACGGCAGGCAGTGTCTTTATCTGCTATGGCACAGCGCTGGTCCCCCGGTTCTCAGTTTTAACACCATTAAAAGAGCTTGTTTTTTGTTTTTTGTTTTTTTAATTTTTTTTTACTTGACAGAGTTAGACAGTGAGAAAGACAGAGAGAAAGGTCTTCCTTCCGTTGGTCCACCCCCCCAAATGGCCGCTAGGGCCAGAGCTACGCCTATCAGGAGCCAGGTGCTTCCTCCTGGTCTCCCATGCAGGTGCAGGTGCCCAAGGACTGGGGCCATCCTCCACTGCCCTCCCGGGCCACAGCAGAGAGCTGGACTGGAAGAGGAGCAGCCAGGACTAGAACCTGGCTCCCATATGGGATGCTGGCGTTGCAGGCAGAGGATTAGCCAAGTGAGCCACAGTGCCAGCCCCCAAGAGCTTGGTATTTTAAAATGCACTTTTTGATAGCATGTAAATGCTCGTATGTATTTGTTCTGTTTTTGAACTTTATATTTTCGTCCATCTTTTTTAAGCCTGTGATCCTATTTATCTTAAGGTTTTATAATTGTGTTAATGTCTGCTGTAACTAGTCTATTGTTATTGCTTTATCTTTTTTAGAGTTTCCTGGATGTTCTTGCTTATTTTTATATGTAAAGTTTAGCATTAGCTTATTTAAGTTCCAGAAAGAAGGAGAAAACTTTTTAAAGAGATTTACTGGGGCTGGTGCTGTGGCACAGCAGGTTCAAGTCCCAGCTGCTCCACTTCTGATCCAGTTCTCTGCTATGGCCAGGGAATGCAGTGGAGGATGGCCCAACTCCTTGGGCCTCTGCACCCACGTGGGAGATCTGGAAGAAGCTCCTGGCTTTGGATCGGCCCAGCTCTGGCTGTTGGGGCCATTTGGGGAGTGAGCCAGCGGATGAAGATCTCTTTCTCTCTGCCTCTTCCTCTTTGTAGCTCTGCCTTTGAAATAAATAAAAACTCTTTTTTTTTTTTCTTTTGACAGGCAGAGTGGACAGTGAGAGAGAGACAGGGAGAAAGGTCTTCCTTTTTGCCGTTGGTTTACCCTCCAATGGCCACCGCAGCCAGCGCGCTGCGGCCGGCGCACCGTGCTGATCCAATGGCAGGAGCCAGGTACTTATCCTGGTCTCCCATGGGGTGCAGGGCCCAAGCACCTGGACCATCCTCCACTGCACTCCCTGGCCACAGCAGAGAGCTGGCCTGGAAGAGGGGCAACCGGGACAGAATCCGGCGCCCCGACCGGGACTAGAACCCGGTGTGCCGGCGCCGCTAGGCGGAGGATTAGCCTGTTGAGCCACGGCGCCGGCTATAAAAACTCTTTTTCAAAAAAGATTTATTTATTTATTTTAAAGAATTACACAGAAACCTTCCATCTTGTTCACTCTCCAAAGGGCTGTAACAGCTGTGCCAGGCTGAACCCAGGAGCCTGGAATGCCATCCTGGTCTCCAGTGTGGGTGGCAGGGGCCCAGTTACTTGAGTTATCTTCCACTGCTTTTCCAGGCACGTTAGCAGGGAGCTGGATCAGAAGTGGAGCAGTCTGGAATCTTTGTACCTGTATGAGTTGCCAGTGTCACAGAAAGTGGCTTAACTGCTACAGCACAACGCTAGCCTTTAGGGAAGATTGCATAAAATTTATAAAAATAACAGGGTAAAGGAACACCTTTATGACATTAAATATTCCCACCCATGTATGTGATAAGTATTTACTCATTCTAACTTCCTTTTAGTTTCTCTCGAGTGTCTTAAAACGTCAGAGGTTTTAAACCCTGTTTGTTTACTAAGTTTATTTCTAAATGTTCTTGTCATTTTTTGATAGAAGAATATATGAAGCCTACTGATTTCTATGTTAATTTTTTCCTCTGCTTAACTTGCTGTGATATTTGTAATAACTAGTAAATAATTCTGAGGCAGGTGGCATCCTTCTTTTTATTTAGAATTCAATAGAAATACCTCCAGTGTTTTTATATTAGTTAAGATGCTGGCTTTTGTGGTCAGATATAGATTATGATTATTGATAGGCAGAGATATGTAGCTAGAGCTTGCCCAGACTGATTGGATCTCTGGGAATATAAAGTTTTATTTTTTTAAGATTTTATTTATTATTTGAAATGTAGAGTTACAGTGAGAGAGGGAGAGGCAGAGAGAATGTGATCTTCCATCTGCTGATTCCTTCCCCAGATGGCGGCAACAAGGACACGAACTGGTACCTGGCATCACATATGGCAGCTTTAACTGTTAGGCCACAGCACCAGCCCCTAAAGATTTATTTTTATTTGGAAGGCAGAGTTAGAGAGAGAGAGAGAAACAGAGGAAGAGAAAGAGAAATCTTCATCTACTGGTTCATTCTCATAATGGCCAGGACTGGGCCTGACCAAAGCTAGGGTTTCTCCCACATAGGCCCAGGGGCCCAAAGACCTGGGCCATGTTCTCCTACTTTCCCAGATACATTAGCAGAGAGCTGGATGGGAAGTGGAGCAGCTGGGACTTGAGCCAGCACCCATATGGGGTGCTGGCACTATAGACATTGGCTTTATGAGCTATGCTACTCTGCCATCCCCAGGAGTATAAATTTTTTTTTAAGACTGATTTATTTGGAAGGCAGAGTGACAGAGGCAGAGGGAGAGACAAAGAAAGGTCTTCCATCCACTGGTTCATTCCCCGAACGGCTGTAATGACCGGAGCTGGGCTAATCTGGAGCCAGGAGCCAGGAGAATCTTCTGGGTTTCCCACACAGGTGCTAGGGCCCAAGGACTTGGGCCATCTTCCATTGCTTTCCCAGGCCACAGCAGAGAGCTGCATCAGAAGTGTATCAGCTGTGTTTCAAACTGGTGCCCATATGGGATGCTGGCACTGCAGGTGCCGACTTTACCTGCTGCACCACAGCAGTGGCTCTGGGAGTATAGATTTTAAGCTGAGCCTAGTGCTGTGCCCTAGGTGCAACAGCCAGGAAAGATGTTAATTAAACAAAATACCTCTAAAGTCTATGGTACTGCAATCTTTATTAGAAGTTGTCATCTTTCGTTCATTTAATTATGTTGTGTTTCTGTTTTAATCTGCTTTGTGACAGTATTTTTCTGATGAATTTATTTAAAGAGTTTACATTAAACAGCAGAGGACTGCAGGGGTGAGCAGAAATCATAGACTTGAGAAGTACTTGGCAGTGGCATTCAGAGATGCCAAATTTAGCAACTTCTAAAAGCGAATTATGGGAAACCAGGCTGCTGAAAGAAGTGAGCCTGAACCAGGTTAGGGTCAGTGAGCTGTTGAAGGGGCGGAAGGCCTTTGCTGTAGCACTAGAGGATTCTAAGAGGCAAATTTGTTGGGAAATCAGGGAAATTATGCTACTCATTTTCACCGTTTTTGTTAAAGTGTCTTTATATGGACAAAGAAGTTATTTTATGTTACTCATGTCTGTGTGCTTTTCCTGGACAAGCAAGAGGGAAAAAGCTAGCATTCTGTGTGTGAAGCTTCGCGAGCCTCTCCGAGTGTTAGCTGATTTCCTTCCGCAGCCCTGTGCTTTCCGGTGCTTGGCCTTTGGCTTGTGCTTTCACTATTAGAAACTGCTAAATTTGGCCTCTCTGGATCACACCCGCAGGTACTTTTTAAGATTGTGTTTTCTGCTTCCTCCTGTGGTCCTTTTCTCTTTAATCTAGGTTCTGCTTTTTGTTAATTCCTTCTTTTTTCTCATTTGGTAAGGAAATACTAGCTACAGATTTCTGATCTCTTCAGGTTCTTAGACACCTTCCCAGTATTCCCAGTTCTTTTGAGGCTTTTCAGCTTCCTGTTGCGGCCTCCTATGCAGGAATCTGTGTCAGATGGAGGTTGGAGTTTTTTCTGGTTTTCTTGTGTGTTATTAGACTCAGTTAACAGCAGTCTCACTGAGAATGGGTCCCCTATTTAGCGATGGCTGTTTACTAATTATTTCTGAGATCTGTTACCTCAAGGACTTCTCTGACTTGCTCTTTCTACCACACTGTTGTGGGTGTTCTGGGCCACTCTTGCATGTAATTTAGAGCTAACATATTTCTCTACCAGCTTGACTAAATATACAGTGAATGGATTAGCTAGTTCTTCTGCCATTGGTTTTGATATTCCCCCCCCCCCAAGATTTGTTTATTAATTTATTTGAAAGGGTAGGTGATAGAAAGAGGGAGAGACAGAGAGAGATCTTCTGTCTGCTGGCTCACTCCCAAAATGCCTGGAACTCCATCCAGGTATCCCGTGTGGGTGGCAAGAACCCAAGAATTTGGACCATTGTCTCCTGCTTCCCAGACACCTTAGTGGGTAGCTGGATTTGAATTGGAGTAGCCAAGTCTCAAACCACTCCAAAATGGGATGCTTGTGTCCTAACTGGCGACTTCATCCCTATACCTAATATCTGTCCCAACTTTTGACTTTATCCCTGAATACAGTCAGAACAGCTTCCTGGATATTGTACCCATGTAGCTTAGTTCTGATGTGTGTATTGAATGCATCCAGGATTAAGAGCCATAATTAAAACCCATTCAGGAACCTGTTCATAAATGTGGTGCCAGAGAACAATAACAACCAGTCATGCAAGGAGTGAAAGGTTTTCCTGTGTAAGTAAAATTAAATTCTGCAAGTTTTTTCTTCCTCTCAGTTTCTGGATGTCTGGAGACTTTAATTACGGGTTTTTGTTCAATTCATTACGCAAACACCCAGAGAGACGGTTTTCCTCCACTGGCCTACTCCTCAAATGCCTGCAACAGCTAAGGCTGGACTGGGCTGAACCTGGGAGCTAAGAACTCAGTCTAGACCTTCCACATGGGTGACAGGGACCTAACCACCTTATAGCCATCTCAGCCAGCATCTTAACCACTGTGCCAGATGCCTGCCCCCTTTAAATGGTTTACTGAGTATAGTTTTGAAATTCAGGATTCAGAGAGTGCTGGTACCCCAGCTCACATGATTGTGTGTGCTCTAGGCTCTAAGGCAGAAGGTCATTACTTTGTTTTGTTTTACAGGGCCGCTTCCTTGTGCACTCCTGGTCAGAGGGCTTGGAGGCCCCAGGGCTCAGCCTGAGTTCTACGATGGTACTTTGGCACCAGCATTAATGTTGTAGTACTGTGTCATACTACCTCAGTAGAGGTTGTAACGTGACCAGATTGTACATCAAAGAAGTGGAAAGCACGTGTGTCCAGGTAAGTGAATGACGAGGCAGATCACAACTGTTCAGTCAACATTGATACCTCTGAAGTGCTTTGAAAGATATTTCTTTAGAACTCTTTGAGTATCACTTGATATAAATTTCTGACACCTGAGTGACATATCATTTTTTTTCAGTTTCAGTATTCTACTTTTTTATTCATTTATTTTTATTTGAAAGACAGAGAGAGAGAGAGAGATCTTCTATCTATTGGTTCTCTCCCCAAATGCCCACAACAGGTGGGGCTGGGCCAGGCCAAAGCCAGGTTTTGTTTTGTTTTGTTTTGTTTTTGTTTTTGTTTTTGTTTTGACAGGCAGAGTTAGACAGTGAGAGAGAGAGAGACAGAAAGTGAGGGAGAGAGACAGAGAGAAAGGTCTTCCTTCCGTTGGTTCACCCCTAAATGGCCGTTACGGCTGGCGCTGCGCTGATCTGAAGCCAGGAGCCAGGTACTTCCTCCCGGTCTCCCATGCGCAGGCAGGGCCCAAGCACTTGGGCCATCCTCCACTGCCCTCCCGGGCCACAGCAGAGAGCTGGACTGGAAGAGGAGCAACCGGGACTAGAACCCGGTGTGCCAGTGCCGCAGGCAGAGGATTAGCCAAGTGAGCCATGGCGCCAGCCACTTGTGTACTTCATTTTCATATTGCCTCTGTTAGGATTCTCTTTTAGTCATATCCAGTTTCCTGTCCACCTTTTCATATGTACATCTTCATACATTGTCCTTGTTTTTTTTTTTTTCTTTTTTTTTTAAAGATTTATTTATTTATTTATTTGAAAGTCAGAGTTACAGAGAGAGAGAGACCCAGAGGAAGCTCCTGGCTCCTGACTTCGGATCAGCGCAGCTCTAGCTATTGAGGCCAACTGAGGAGTGAACCAGCAGATGTAGGGCCTCTCTTTGTGATTCTGACTTTCAAATAAATAAAATCCTTATTTATTTATTTATTTATTTATTTGACAGGCAGAGTGGACAGTGAGAGAGACAGAGAAAGCTCTTCCTTTTGCCGTTGGTTCACCCTCCAATGGCTGCCGCGGCCGGTGCACCGCGCTGATCCGAAGGCAGGAGCTAGGTACTTCTCCTGGTCTCCCATGGGGTGCAGGGCCCAAGCACTTGGGCCATCCTCCACTGCCCTCCCTGGCCACAGCAGAGAGCTGGCCTGGAAGAGGGGCAACCGGGACAGAATCTGGCGCCCCGACCGGAACTAGAACCCAGTGTGCCGGCGCTGCAGGGCCGAGGATTAGCTCAGTGAGCCATGGCGCCAGCCAAATCAATCCTTTAAAAAAAAAAACTCTCCCTTCTGAGGGTCTGTGTTGTAGTTGGGGAAGACAGATTATGAGTAATTAAGTACAAAAGCATTCCATCAGATGGTGACAGTTGTTATGCAAAAAGATACAAGGAAAACTCACAGAGGGGGCCAGTTGGGAGTGTAATTTTAAATAAGTTGGCCAGAGAAAGGCCTACCAGTGACTTTTTTAAAAGATTTATTTATTTATTTTTATTTGTTTATTTATTTACTTACTTGAAAGGCAGAGTTACAAGGAGAGGTAGAGCCAGAGAGAGAGAGAGATCCTCCATCCATTGGTTCACTTCCCAAATGACCGCAACGGCCAGAGCTGGCTGATCCAAAGCCAGGAGCCAGGAGTGTCTTCTGGGTCTCCAGGCAGGTGCAGGGGCCCAAGGACTTGGGCCATCTTCTACTGCCTTCCCAGGCCATAGCAGAGAGCTGGATCGGAAGTGCAGCAGCCGGGACTAGAACCAGTGCCCACATAGCATGCCTGCACTGCAGGCTGGGGCTTTAACCTGCTGCACCACAGCGCCGGCCCCAAGTGACTTATGAAAAGATCTTAAGAGTGACAGTGAGACATGTTATTTGGTGGAAGAATGTTGAGCTAGAAGGAACAGAAAACTCATTAAGTGCCATAAGGAAGTAGTTTATTGTCATATTCAAGGAACAGTGATCAGGGCAGTGGGCTGGAGCAGAGTATGCAAAAGGGAATAGGAGTAGATTTGGTAATAAGCCAAATCCCAGGCTGTGGCCTTTATTCTGAGTGGTTTGGGAGACCAATAAGAATTGAGAAGAGTAATAAGATCAGAATTACATTATGAAAGGAATAATTGGTGTGTTATATAGAGAATAAAGTAGATAGGGGACCATGGCTTAGAGAAACCGTTGTAGGAATCCAGGTGAGAATGTGGTGGTAGTTTAATGACAAGAAGGATTTCGATTTTTTTGTTTTTGTTTTTCAAAGATAAATTTATCTGAAAGTCAAGATTCCTAAGAGAGGTGGGATTGGGGTAGAATCGAAATATCTTCTATCCACTGGTTTACTCCCTACATGGCTGTAGAAACCAGGAACCTAAAATTCTATCCATGTCTTCCAGGTGGGTGGCAGGGCGCCAGTACTGGGGTCATCATTTACTTCTTTACCAGGCCCATCAGCAGGGAGCCGGATCAGAGTGGAATATCCTGGTCTTGAACCTGTGCTCATATGGATGCCAGCATCAAAGGTGGTGGTTTAACCTGGTGTACCACAACAGTGGCCCCATAGAGTGCAGTGCTTGAGATAGTTTCAAGTGGCCAGCTCCATGGCTCACTAGGCTAATCCTATGCCTGTGGCGCCGGCACCCTGGGTTCTAGTCCCGGTTGCTGCTCCTCCAGTCCAGCTCTCTGCTGTGGCCCAGGAATGCAGTGGAGGATGGCCCAAGTGCTTGGGCCCTGCACCCACATGGGATGCCCGGAAGAAGCACCTGGCTTCTGGCTTCGGATCGGCGCAGTGCGCCTGCTGCAGCGCACCGGCCATAGCAGCCACTTGAGGGGTGAACCAGCAGAAAAAGGAAGAGCTTTCTCTCACTCTCTCACTCTCTCACTGTCTAACTCTGCCTGTCCAAAAAAAAAAAAAAGAGAGAGAGAGAGAGATAGTTTAAAGGATAGATTGTTATAGATTATAAGAGGAAAACTATTGGAATGTTGAGAGTTCAGGAGTTTTTTTTTTTTTTTGGACTTGTTTTTTGTGGCATCCCTGTTGATCATTTTCTGTTCATATTCAAGTAGACATAGAAATGGCTGGCGCCGCGGCTCACTAGGCTAATCCTCCAGCTAGCGGCGCCAGCACACTGGGTTCTAGTCCCAGTTGGGGCGCCGGATTCTGTCCCAGTTGCCCCTCTTCCAGGCCAACTCTCTGCTGTGGCCAGGGAGTGCAGTGGAGGATGGCCCAGGTGCTTGGGCCCTGCACCCCATGGGAGACCAGGAAAAGCACCTGGCTCCTGGCTCCTGCCATCGGATCAGCACGGTGTGCCAGTTGCAGTGCGCCGGCCGCGGCGGCCATTGGAGGGTGAACCAACGGCAAAGGAAGACCTTTCTCTCTGTCTCTCTCTCTCTCACTGTCCACTCTGCCTGTCAAAAAAAAAAGTAGACATAGAAAACTATGACCTTATCTGTCCATCTATACTAATAGGCTACTTTATTCAAGGATGGTATCTTTGGGCCCAGTGCTGTGGCACAGTGGGTTAAAGCCACAGCCTGAGGTGCCGGCATCCCATATCGAGTCCCAGTCAGGCTCCCTGCTAGTGTGCCTGGGAGGGCAGCAAAGGATGGCCTGGGTTCTTGGGTTTCTGTGGGAGACCCAGAGGAGGCTCCTGGCTGCTGGCTTCAACCTGGCAGAGCTCCGGTAGTGGTAGCTATTTGGGGAGTGAACCAGCAGATGGAAGATATCTTTCTCTGTCTCTCCTCTGTCTGTAACTCGGCCTTATTTAAAAACAAAGAAAAAGGATGGTACCTGCATTTCTTTGCTTCAGTCTATGATTCCCTGTCATTCAGAAATGCCAGTGGGTCCAGTAAGTCTCCTTTCAACCAGGCTGCATTCCTGGATTCTGTTGTCATAAACAAGGAGCTGCACTTTGGCTCTTTACACTGAGCCTTATGATTTTGGGGGCACCACGTGTGAGGGCTTTTCCTTAGAATGTCAGTGGCAGCTATCTGCTCACAGCCTTCCTCATGTGACACTAGAATTATAAGTACTTCTTGCTATTATTATTATCTGAAAGACATGAGGAATGTGATACACCAAAGTATAATTCATAGGTTATGTATTTAATACACTTGGCAGACTTCAGGGCCTGTGGACTCGCTTAACTTCTGTTTAAAATGCCCTTACGGCCAGCGCTGTGGCTCAATAAGCTAATCCTCTGCCTACGGCGCCAGCACACCGGGTTCTAGTCCCGGTCAGGGAGCCGGATTCTGTTCTGGTTGCTCCTCTTCCAGTCCAGCTCTCTGCTGTGGCCCGGGAAGGCAGTGGAGGATGGCCCAAGTGCTTGGGCCCTGCACCCACATGGGAGACCAGGAGAAGCACCTGGCTCCTGCCATCGGATCAGTGCGGTGCGCTGGCTGCAGCGTGCTGGCCACAGCGGCCATTGGGGGGTGAACCAACGGAAAAAAGGAAGACCTTTCTCTCTGTCTCTCTCACTGTCCACTCTGCCTGTCAAAAAAGAAAAAAGGCCGGCGCCGCGGCTCAATAGGCTAATCCTCCGCCTTGCGGCGCCGGCACACCGGGTTCTAGTCCCGGTCGGGGCGCCGGATTCTGTCCCGGTTGCCCCTCTTCCAGACCAGCTCTCTGCTGTGGCCAGGGAGTGCAGTGGAGGATGGCCCGAGTGCTTGGGCCCTGCACCCACATGGGAGACCAGGAGAAGTACCTGGCTCCTGCCTTTGGATAGGCGCGGTGCACCGGTCGCAGCGCGCCAGCCGCGGCGGCCATTGGAGGGTGAACCAACGGCAAAAGGAAGAGCTTTCTCTCTGTCTCTCTCTCTCACTGTCCACTCTGCCTGTCCAAAAAAAAAAAAAAATTAAAATGCCCTTCCTTTGCTGCACTGTGGCCTAGTAGATAAAATGCCTTTTTAAGAGGGTTTTTTTTTTTTTATTAAAGACTTATTTATTTGAAAGGCAGAGTTGGAGAGAGAGAGAGAGAGGGAGGGAGGGAGGGAGGGAGGGAGGGGTCTTCCATCTGCTGGTTCACTCCCCAGGTGGCTGCAACAGCTGGAGCTGGGCTGATCCAAAGCCAGGATCCAGGAGCTTCTTCTGGGTCTCCCACGTGGGTGCAGAAGTCTAAGGACTTGGGCCATTTTCTACCGCTTTCCCAGGCCATAGCAGGAAGCAGGATTGGAAGTGGAACAGCTGGGGCTTTATCTGCCACATCACAGCACCAGCCCCACTTAAGACTTTTTAACAAATCGTCTCCTTTCTTGTTTGTCTCTCGTCCACTAGATTGTAAATTTGATGAGGGCAAGGAATTTTGTCTGTTTTATCCAGTGCTATCAATCCGTAGAGCCTAGAAATGCACACATAGTAAAAAGACAAAAAATACTCATTTAGTGAATGAGAAATATTTGAATATATGTTCTCAAATTTTTTGGTCTCTTGAACTTTTTTTTTTAAGATTTATTTTTTTATTTGCAAGGCAGAGAGACAGAGTGAGATCTTCCATCTGCAGTTCATTCCCCAGATGGCCACAAGGCTGGATTTGGGCCTGAAGCCAGGAACCAGAAGCTTCTTCTGGGTCTCCCACATAGGAGCAGGGGCCCAAGAACTTTGTACTGCTTTTGCCATCCTGGCTGGGAGGATGCAAATGCAGCATTTCTTTTTATTGTTTTTTTGTTCAGCTTTTATCCTTAATTTCTTTTCCTGAGATACTTTATTCCTTTCATTTCCTGAGTCTTTCTCATTTTGTGGCAGAAAACAGATTTGCTTGACATTGGCATTGCTTGCTATAATACCTTTACATGAACTTTCTCAGATACTACTCTGCTATGCATTGAAAAGCTTCCATATGTTTTTCATTATTGAAAATTTTGTTAATGTCTGTTGTATGCCAAGCTCCCCAGATATTGTTTTTTTGTAAGTTTATCTCATTTCCTTTTTTTCATGTCATTTTAATGTGGTTTGGGAGAAAGCAGTTGGTTAATCTTTTCCCTTTCTTAAGCATCCAGGTAGACTTTCTCATTTTTATGTGGTCATCCTTTTTATCCTATTTGGTAATTTTTCTTTGTCACGCAGTTTGTTAAGTTCAGAATTGGAAAAGATTTTTCTCAAGAATCAAGTAAGCTTTGTGAACCTATGAATGTTAATTTTTCACCTAGTATCCTCCATAGGGATTCCCTTCCCCAAATCTATTTTAAGTTATTCACTTATTTGAGAGACACAGAAGACTATCCACTGGTTTATTTTAGTTTTTAAAAATGATTTATTTATTTGAAAAAGTTTCAGAAAGAGAAGGCAAGACAGAGAAATCTTTCATCCACTGGTTCACTCCCCAAGTGGCTGCGATGACTGGGGCTGGGCCAGGCTGGAGCAAGGACCTTCTTCTGGGTATCCCATGTTGGTGGCAGGGGCTCAGGGATTTGGGCCATCTTCTGCTGCTTTCCCAGGCACATTAGCAGGGAGCTGGATTGGAAGTGGAACAGCTGGGACTTGAACTGGCACTCATGTGGGATGCCGGCATTGCAGCGGCTAAACCCTTGTGCCACAACACCAGCCCCCGCTGGTTTACTTTCAGATGCCCACCATGGCCGAGGCTGGACTGACGCTGAAGTCAGAAACCAGAACTCAGTCTAGGTCTCCCATGTGGCGGCAAAACCCAACTGCTTGGGCCATCACTGCTGCCTCTCTTCAAGGTCTGCATTAGCAGGAAGCTGGAGTCTGGAGTCAGAAGTAGGTATGAAAAGGCATTCTGATTCGGGACATAGGTATCTCAGTTGTCAACCACTAGTCTAAATGCCTCCCCTCCTTCCCAAAATGTAGTTGAAGACATTAGTCATATGGATTTTTTCATACTGATAGGCTGCCAGAATTAATCCTCTCAATGCACAAATAAAAGTAGTATTTATTGAGTGCTTACCATGTGCCAAACATGATTCTGAGCACTTTTTGCCTTAAGTTTTTTTTTTTTTTTTAAAGATTTATTTATTTGAAAGGTAGAGTTGCAGAGGCAGAGAGAGAGGTCTCAAGGACTTGGACCATCCTCTGCTGCTTTCCCAGCCCATAGCAGAGAGCTGGATCGGAAGTGGAACAGCCAAAACTTGAACTGACGCCCATATGGGATGCCGGCACTGCAGGCAATGGCTTTACCCGCCATGCCACTGTGCCGGCCCCAACTGTTATCTTCTTTTAAAATGATTGGGTGTATTCCATTTTAAGTGAAGCCTAAGATGATGATGATCAGACAACAATATTTGGGGCAACAATATTTGGAAGGCAAGTGCATTCATCTCTAGTAAACTACAGACTGAGGAAAAAAAAAGTTAATATAAGAGAACTGAGAAGTCACTCCTGATCTCAACTTTATTTCTTTTAAGGCAATATCTTTTTGAAGTTTTGAGTTTGAAGCACAATTTAGACTTAATCATAAGGGAAGTTGTATACAAAAGACTTAACGACTTAGTTTAGAAATCCTCTAACATTGCTTACTCATTTATGGTAAAACTCCCTTTAAATGTAAATTAGGGACCAGTGGGTATGGCCACTGTCTGTGGCACTGACATCCCACGTGGGTGCTAGTTCAGATCCTGGCTGCCCCACTTCTGATCCAGCTCTCTGCTAATGCTCCTGGGAAAGCAGCAGAGGATGGCCCAAGTCCTTGGGCCCCTGCACCCATGGGGGATACCTGGATGGGGCTCCTGGCTCCTGGCTTCAGTCTGGCACAGTCATGGCTGTTAGGACCATTTAGGGAGTGAACCAGCAGATGGAAGATCTCTCCTACTCAGCCTTTCAAATAAAGAAAAGAAATCCTTTTTTTTTTTTTAAATATATTAATGTAGAAATGCCTTCAGTTGAGAGTTATGCCCCATCTGATCCCAGAGTATTCACTGGAGGAAAATTATATAAATTTACTGAATGTAGGGAAACCTGTTCCTTACATGTTATCTCATTGAATGTAAAAAGCATCAAAAGAAATTCGGTGCTTCTAAGGAATATTGAGAAGTGTTTAACTGGATTAAAAATCTCATTAAACAGAAAATTCATGCTGGGTAGTAACCAGTGAATATCACGAAACTTCATTGAATATTAGCAAATTTTTGAATGTACTGAGAATGATAAAATTTTCTCAAACTTTTCTTACTTTGCGTTTAAAAGGTCATATCCATGGAGGAGACTTATATTTATAAGAAATGTGGAAATATCTTCAGCTGAGAGTAGATCTTCGTTCATCAAAAAATTATTACTGGAGAGAAACCTTGTGAATGTGGGAAAGCTTCTATTCAGATGTCACGCAGCAGTCAGCAGAGAATTTATAGTGGGGAAAACCCCTTTTCCTGTAAGGTATGTGGGAAAGGCTTCAGCCACAAATCAAATCTCACTGAGCATGAACATTTTCATACTAGAGAGAAGCCTTTTGAGTGTAATGAATGTGGGAAAGCCTTTAGCCAAAAGCAGTATGTCATTAAACATCAAAACACCCATACTGGAGAGAAGCTTTTTGAATGTAATGATTGTGGGAAATCCTTTAGCCAGAAGGAAAACCTGCTTACCCATCAGAAAATTCACACTGGAGAGAAACCTTTTGAGTGTAAAGATTGTGGGAAAGCTTTTATTCAGAAGTCCAACCTCATCAGACACCAGAGAACTCACACGGGAGAAAAGCCTTTTGTATGTAAGGAGTGTGGGAAAACCTTTAGTGGCAAATCAAACCTTACTGAGCATGAGAAAATTCATATTGGAGAGAAACCCTTTAAATGTAATGAATGTGGAACAGCTTTTGGCCAGAAGAAGTACCTCATAAAACATCAGAACATTCACACTGGAGAAAAACCCTATGAATGTAATGAATGTGGAAAAGCCTTCTCTCAACGAACGTCACTGATTGTGCATGTGAGAATTCATTCAGGTGATAAGCCTTATGAATGCAATGTTTGTGGAAAAGCCTTCTCTCAGAGTTCATCTCTTACTGTACACGTGAGAAGCCACACCGGTGAGAAACCCTATGGCTGCAATGAATGTGGGAAAGCTTTCTCTCAGTTCTCAACCCTTGCTCTGCATTTGAGAATCCACACAGGTAAGAAGCCTTATCAGTGTAGTGAGTGTGGGAAGGCTTTCAGCCAGAAGTCACACCACATTCGACACCAGAAAATTCATACTCATTAAAAACCCTGTAAATATTTTGAAAATTCACCAGGAATTTGAAATACAAATGAAATAAACTTTACCAAATACTGAAAACTTAGGGGACACCAGCAAGTTCATGCTGAAGAAAAGGACAGTTGTATGATAAAAAGCCTGTATCCAACAACAAAAAAACTACAGCAAACAGCAAAGGTAATGCTGAAATTTTAGACACATTTCCACTAAAATTGGGAGCAGAAAACAGATGCCTATTACTATTATCAGCATAGATCTGGAGATCTTCACCAGCATAAGAAAATTAAGTTGTAAGAATTGGAAAGGAAGAGACAAAAGTAGATATGATCACCTACAAATAATATAAAACTTGTGGAATTGATTCAGCAGAACAGAAGGAATCTTCCAGAGAGACCTATGCATGTGTTAGAATTTGGGATATGACAGAAATGGCATCAGTGGGTAAAGAAATGAGATGATTTTGGAAACTGTTTGGAGATAACTTGTTCTCCAAAAGGAAAAAATAACAGAACTATACACAAAAGTAAAATCTACAAGGATTGAAAACAGAAATATCTCAAAAGATGTGGTAAAATAGTTGTGACATTAAGAGTAGGGAAACATTGCTTATAACATTCAAAAACACTTAGCAATTCTACCTGTATGTATGCAAAGAAAATATGCGCCAGAATATTTACTATGGCTTGATTTATCGCAGCCAAAAATTGGAAATAACTTAAATGCTTTTTGGGAATAGAAAAGAAGATTCTTGGAATGGAATACTGTACATATATTTGTAAAAATGGAGCAAATGAGATTAACATGCATTAACAGGAATATTCCAGAAATTGAGGGGAAAATCAAGTTGCAGAGTGATGCATATAGTACAATGAGTTTGTAAATTTGAATTAAAATTCTTAACAAAACAGTACTTAACATTGGTAATAGATATATATGTATATATACACACATACACACACGTGCACACACATATGTATGTAAATGTTTTTGAAATTAATTGGAAGGATACAGACCTGACATTGGTCGTCTGTGAAGAGTGGAGAAGGGTAGGGCATGAATGTGGGAGGTGGGTGGTTAAAGGGGACTTTGGCTTTTTATAGAAGCATCTCCTAAAGATTTGCAAGTAAGTATGAAAATAGTGGCTACTTCTGGAGTGTGGTATATGGATATCTTGTCTTATTTTTTGTACTTTTCTGTATTTTTTAAATTTCAAAATTAATAAGAATGGGGGTGAGGATGGGAACACTGTACCTGTAGAAATCATGTTATAATGAATTAATTCCCAAATACTAAACTTTTTATAGAATATATTTCTAAAATTTTATCAACGATGTGTGAATCGACTTGCTCTCTATGTAATATGAAATTATCTATTTTATTAAAATTAAAAATGACAGCATACTCCAAATCTGTTTTATTTTAAAATGTTATGTATACTATAGTCTGTGTCTTTGCATTCCTAACATTTGTGACACATCATTTGGGCTTAGACATTTTTATGAATAACAACAAAGATTTATTGATTGATCAGAAAGGCAGAGAGACAAAAATTTGTCTGCTGGTTCACACCCCCAAATGGCCACAGCAGCCAGGTGTGGGGCAGCCCAAAGCCAGGATGCAGGAACATGGCAGGAGCCCAAGTTCTTGGCCTGTCTTCTGCTGCCTTCCAAGGACTATTAGCAGGAAGCTGGGTTGGATGAGGATCACAAGTAGTGGCTTAACCACTGTACTAAAATGCTGGTTCCAAGAGTAATTTTTATTGAACATTTGTTAAGTGACTCCTCTGTTATATCAGTTCTGCTTTCAAGCCCATCCTAACATTTTTTAAACTGTAGCTCTTGTATTTTTCATTGTTAAGGGTTTTCATATTCAAAGTCTATATTTCCATCTATTCAAGTGTGTTCATGTTTACTTAATGTAGCATAGTGTTAATCTCAAAAAGTCTTTAGTTGACATTTAAAAATCTAGGTACTCTTTGACATCTGTTGATCTTATTTTCCCATGATAATGGGTCACATTTTTCTAGTTCTTTGTTTATCGAATAATTTTGGATTTTATCCTGGAGATTAAATTTGTTTGAGGGATAGAAAGATACTACAGATGCCTGCAATGGTAGGCTTATGGGCTGGAGCTGGAGTCAGAAGCCATAGACCTAGATTTATTTGAAAACATTACAGAGAGAAGGAAAGACATAGCTTCCATCTGCTGGTTGACTCAAATGGCTGCAATGGCCAGAGCTGGACAGGGTGGAAGCCAGGAACTCCATCTGGGTCTCCTGTGTGGGTGGCAAGGGCCCAAGCACTTGGGTCATCTTTTGCTGGTTTTCCCGGATGCGTTAGCGGGGAACTGGATTGGAAGTGGAGCAGCTGGCACTCAAACTGGCAATATCAGTGGCATAGGCAGCCTAGCCTGTGCCACAGTGCTGGCCCCAGAAGTTGAGGCCTCAACCCAGGTCTCCCATGTCCATGGCAGGAACTCAATCACTTGAGCCTCACAGGATCTACAGTACAGTAGCAGGAAGCTGGAGTTAGGAGCCAGAATTGGGAATTAAACCAGACACTACAACATGAGATGTGGGCATCCTAACTTGTAGGCTAAATGTTTGCTCTGGATCCAGTATCAGTTGTGTTTTCAAGTACTAACTAGCTTTGGGTCTCCCCCACACAAGTGCTGTTCTGAGGTTAGTCTGAGCCTTTGGTGTTTTATATCACTCTGGTTATCAGAGCCATTATGCTTCTTTGAGTCTGTTCCACTTCTGTATAGTTTTTCTTTTTTGAAGTATTAAGGGGTTGATGTGACATAGCTGGTAAAACTGCCAACACCAGCATCCCATATGGGATGAAGATTTATTAAGCCAAGATGAAGCTCCTGGCTTAGCCCTGGTTGTTGGGGCCACTTGGAGAGTGAGCCCAGTGGATGGAAGGAAGATCAGCCTGTCTCTCCTTTGTAGTTCTTTAAAGATTGATTTATTTGAAAGAGAGGGAGAGACAGAAATTGATCTTCCACTAGTTAACTCCCCAGATGGCCACAACCAGCAGCATGGGCCATGCCAAAGGCAGAAGCCAGCTTAATCCTGGTCTTCCATGTGGGTGGCAGGGGCCCCAGATGGACGATAATTATCAAACACAGTAGAGAAAATTCTCATTCTGTATTATAAAAAGGAAAGCCTAATAGCAACTGCTAGAAAAATAGGGGAAAATTTTAACAAGCTGTTTAAACGATTTTCTTGAAGAGATTCCCTGTATTGCCAGAGATCTTGAGTAGCCTGCTACTCAGTTTTAAAGAAGCAATTGTTTACATAGTTGATGAATTTGGCATTCACTTTGGGAGGAGAAGCACCTTTTTCTATACTTGGCGTTTTTGCTTTAATGTCCTACAAAACTGCCCGTTGGGTGTATTTTTGTGTTTTTTGAAGTTTTGACTTTTATTTAAAAAAAAAAAAAGATTAATTTATTTGAAAGGCAGTGTTACAGAGAGGCAGAGAGAGGTCTTTGATCCACTGGTTCACTCCCCCCAAATGGCCACGATAGCTGGAGCAGAGTTACACACAGAGAGGTCAGTCCTGCATCTGCTGGTTCACTCCCCAGATGACTACAACGGCTGGAGCTGAGCCAATCAGGAGCTTCCTCCAGTTCTCTCACGTGGGTGCAGGGGCTCAAGGACTTGGGCGATCTGCTTTCCCAGGCTGTGGCAGAGCTGGATTGGAAGTGGAGCAGCCGGGTCTCGAACCGGTGCCCATATGGGATGCTGGCACTACAGGCGGCGGCTTTACCCACTATGCCATAGCGCTAGCCCCAGTGTTGATGCTTTTAAGGCAAAACCATTGTGGTTTGATTTTTGTGCATTTTTGGCTTGAGTATCTCAGGTTTCATCACTGGAACTAGTTTCCTCGTCAAAATCATCATCATCAACTTTTTCATCAGTTAATTTTTTTTTCATCAGTTAATTATTTTTTCTATGGTACCTTGCGACCACTTCCAGGCACAAATAGCTTTCTAGATCTACTCGAGTTTTAAATCTTTAATCTGACTGCATCTTGTTGCACAGTTCTTAAGTGCTATCCACTAACATGCGCAGGCCCCAAACCACACTTCAAACTTAAGACCACAATTGTGTTATTTCAAAGCGCCCAAGGGAAATAAGTGGCTTTATAGACATTTTCAGAGGTGCCAGGGTTACTCTATCCATAATTCATTGCCTCTGCTTCAACATGCAATTCATCCTTTGCATACCTAAACTTAAATTTTTTTTAAAGATTTTATTTTAGAGGGAGAAGCAGAAAGGGAGAGACAAGGATCTATCTTCCATCCTCTTGTTCACTCCCCAGATGACTACAACTAGCCAATGCTGGACCAGGCGGAATCCAGGAGCCAGGAATTTCATCCTGGTCTCCCACGTGGGTGCAGGGGCCCAAACAGGCTTTCTGCTGCTTTTCCCGGGCCATTAGCAAGGAGCTAGATCAGAAGTAGCACAGCCGGGATACCAAACTGCCCATATGGGATGCCCACATCACAGGCAATGGCTTCACCCGGTACACCACAACACCAGCCCTCAAACTATTCGTAAAGATACTTGGTGCTCATTTTTATCAGTGTTCGTCTTTGTTGGTCTTTAGTTCATAACCTAAAATAGTTCCTGGACCTCGAGTCCACAGAATCCTGGGGTACTGGTGTGTACTCAGTGGGAGAGAAGGCAGGTGTAGATAGCTGACTACTGCCCCGCGAAGGACAGCCCCGGAGGATGGAATCACATTAGGGTTATTTATATTTGAGTCCTGTGCTCCCGTAGTTGGTTTTGTTTTTGGTCCACAGTGTTCAAAGTAATTGATGAGATGTTTTAAAGTACTTACTGCTTCTTGGCTAGTATTGGTAGTCTACCATCCCAGAGTATTAGGAATTATCCAATTATATGCCTTGAGTTGTATTTTTTTTACCCACTGTGCTTGGTACTCCATTTACTTTCATCTTGTTAACCAATGTTTGTCATTTGGGAACATTTTCTACTTGGTGATTTTTATATTTCCTCTGTTCTCTTCTTAAATCCCCATTCAGTGGCTAGAAAACTTGTGCAACTCTAACTCTATTATTTAACTTTATTTCCTTGTGACCCACAGCCTCACATAAGGAACCCCCCTCACTGCCCCCTACAGGAGTAATACTACTTAACTTTGTCCCACATGCTTCCCTCTACTCTGCGCGAGGGGTTTCTCCCTCTGGAACTCCCACACATCCCAAGGGCACACCGACTGGCACGTAGAGGACACAAGTTGGCCAGTCGTGGAAGAGGTTCAGTTCTAGTCGGAGGGTCTCGCCGGGCATTGTAATAGCAGACCTGGCGGACTCTAAAAGTGACGGTCACTGCAACCGGAAAGTCCTGGCTTCAACTCTACATCTTCTGGGATCCACCCCGCCTCACTGCCACTGCTCAGATTCGTGCTTTGGTTGGCGCTCTGGTGGTCGGGGTGAGTCTGCTCAGAATCCCTTAAGGAGTCGCAGTTAACGATGCCTCGGGTTGCCTGGTTTGCATCTATGACCTTGGCGCTGGGCTGCGGCTGTGGGATCCCTAGGTTACATTTCCCAGAAGCCTTTGGTGCAGAGGTGACTGTTTGCCTAGGAGTGCTTGGTAGGGCTGCTCTGCTCACACAGCTTGGGCACTAGCGTTCAGCCAATACTGAACCCTACCGGACCAACCGGTGAGAGGCCAGAGGTTAGCTTCCAGAGCCTGGAGCAGGGGGCGGGGCCTCCAGGCTGGGGTTGCTGAGCCTGCACAGTGGCTGCCAGTGCGTGTGCAGGCAAGTGCGCATGCGTACCTCGTTATGCGGCTGTGTCAGACTGAGGGATTATGATGTCACCGTTGCATGTACGGCTGTTGGAGGCTGTGAAGGCAGGTAGAAATGTGTGAGGTGAGTAGCTGTGGGAGAAGTTTTGTGTTCACTTTAGGGTTTCTGGCATCTCTGTTGGGTAATGGTGGGTTTTTTTGGACTTTTTGAGTAAGACTGTGAGGGAAGTGTTGTGTGTGTGGTCACAGGTCAGTGTTGACTGTAGTAGCAACTGGCAGGGAATGGGTACAGGATATTATCTCCATGCTTGTGGTATTGATAAAAGGGTCCTTCCCTGTTTCTGTCTCAGGGAGCAGACCCGGTACTTTTTTTTTTTTTTTTTTTTTTTCTTTTTATCTCCTCCTGAATCTTGTTAGGAGTTGTCTTAGTCTGGTTTAACAGAAAGGATCTCCGGTTTATTTTAGCTTACAGTGGAGGTTACAGGGTCAGGTGATCCCATGATTTTGTGCCGATGAAGGCTGCTGGTGTTGGGGTGCAGACAGTCACATTGTGAACCAGGAAGTGAGAGGGAGAACCTAGGCCGCCTTGAACTCAGATAAATCAAACCTCTGGAGAGAACCAA